AAACGTGCTTGCTTCAATGGATTAGTCTTCCTCCAAGTATATCTTCTTGTATCAGTGTGATGTTCTCTATAAATATCTACTAAACTAAATGTATCTATAATTTCCAAAACTTTTTCCCTAGCCCTTGGATTATTAACTTGTCTATAGTTTTGATCGTAATCAAGCTCTGGGTTTAAAACCAGATTAAAATCTCCACACATTATCACTGAATCATTTTTAAAATCGTTTATAGTTTCTGATATTAATTCAAAAAACTCAGGAGCATCTGTGTTAGGGCCATATATTACAATAAGTGTTAATCGTGAGCCCTCTATTTCTAAATCTAGTCCCAAAAAATTGCCTGATGAATCTTTTTTTTCTTTATAAACTTTAAATTCAAAATTGTTGTTACACAGAACTGCAACTCCCCTCGAGTTCGACTTATAAGAGTTAAAATAACAACTTAAACCCCACTCATTTCTTATTATTTCTTCATTCTCTACAGTAAAATGGGTGTCTTGAAGACAATATATATTATATGATTTACCTCGTAAGTACGAAAACACATCTTTTCTTTTAACATTGATACCTAACCCTTGACAGTTTGCCGAAAAAATTGTAATGCAGTCAGCCATATTTGTTACACGAATAATTCAAAGGAATGTTGCCGCAACGCAAAGGACAGTATAGAGAGAGAGAGAAGAGAGAAGGAGCCAATATCTCTCTCAACTCCCTGGGGAGCATGTACTCATTTACTCATGTTCAATGATACAACACAGTGCTGTAACGTGACTCGAACCCTCAAACCTTCGGTCATGAGCCAGGCGTCCTACCATTAGACTACTGTGCCTCTTATGAAAATAGAATCTGTTAAGAGAAAAGCATAGCACCTGTATCCATGGATTCCTCAAATTTTGGAGCCTTTTTGCTCATTTTGAGATCTGCATGTGGATCATCTTGAAAATTGTCTGATTCCAGGGCTTCAAGTGCTTTTCTTTGTCTACGTCGCCGAGCAGCTCCATCCAGCACTCTCTTCTGCTGGAGCTCCTTCACTCGTCCTATAATACAAAATCAAACTGATATAAAGGCACATATTGAAATTAATACATTCTATCAAATCATAAAAAGGTGAAAAATTTGGTAGAAACAACAGATAAATGTATGTTTCCTCAATAAATTTTTGACTTGGGGTCATATGGCGCCGACTTATAATGCTCAGCTTTTATAAATGAACATAGCACAGAAATTTGTCTATACAAGTTGACTATAATTTGTCACTTATTAGCCCTACAATCAATGAAGAAGGCTTTTAAATATTTACCTTTATTTCCCCTAATAGGCTCCACTCCTTTGCCCCCAAGGGAATCTAAGGGTTGGGAGGGGGAACACACCTTCCAATTAAAACATTGAGTCCCCTTTGCCCAACAATTATCCAGACTAAATTTAGTAAAACAAGCTGTTCAGGACTCATAGCATTTAAAGGAAAAAGAAGGTAAATAGCAAATGGCTTAATTAAAGCTCACCATGGCCAGGTCCCTTGAACCAGGTGAGTACATGTATATATACAAACCAGCCAATACTAATCAAATGTAATTTCTATGTGCAGTAGAACTGTATTAGGTCGATCACTGGAGACCAGGTAGCTCAATTGGGCTGTGCATTTTCCTGCTCCTGCTACATTTGGTTCCTGTGACCAACCCCTGTTTCCAGTACTAGGTGAATGCTTGGCAAGGATATACTCGAACCAAGGTTGTAACTAGTTGTGTCTTTGGGGGTAAAGACTTAGAAAACGACTAAGGGATGAATGTAGGGGAACTGGACTGGATCGATCGTTGGCACCCAGGTAGCTCAATTGGTAGAGCGTCCATTTAGAATTCAGAAGTTCCCGAGTTTGAACCCTGATATGGTGGTGCATTTTTCTGATCCTATAACACATGTTTTTCCATCGTGTAAATTCTAAAAAAAAATACACTTTCTCTCACACTATTCTCTGAACCAACTTGAAGTCCTTCACTGCAGGTTCTTAGTCGGACGATCTACCTCTGAGCTAAAGGGATATTCCCTCTCAGTGTTCTCCCCAGGCTGTTTTTGCAGCATGCCGGCATCATGCTCCTATAATTTCTTGCCATGCTGCTACCCTAGATCTTCTCTGCTATATATTCATAGTAAATCTAAAGTTATCATGCTGCATCAATTTTACATAGAGTGCTGCTTTAACAGAAATATTGAAATACCATGCTTCTTTCAAAACATTCTGGGGAGAACACTGCCTCTAGCTCGAAGCTAGAAGGCGACTATAATCCTATGTACAATTAAAATATGCCACACTACTTTCCCCTTTTTAAACGTGTATGTCCTTGAACACCACAACCCAGGTTCTAACTCCCTGTCACCAAGCTTGAAGATAGAAGGCGACCGTAATCCTATATATGTACAATTAAAATCTGCAACAATTTTAAAAACCCTGACATAGAGAATATCCTACAAACATAATTATCACATAAGGACAATTTTAAAAGGAAAAAGAAGGTACTCCAATTTTACAACATAATATTATCCCCATTTCTCCCCTCTAACCTAAACAAAGATACGGTTTTAACCTTTTCATTCAATAATCGACGTTCAATCAAGAGTTATCTCTCTTGCACTGTAATGATTTACATGTATATATAGTCATTTCTATTATAACTATCGATTTTTCTTTCCAGAAACACAAAATGGGAAAGATAAGCACATAGACATCGGACACACTGACAAAGTTTTTCGTGAAATGTATATCTTAGTCAACTGAACGTGGTGCGAATCTGACCATTCTGGCATTCAAGAATCAATGTAACGCCGGTGCTGGCATTTATTAATAATGGCGAACTGAACGAAGCTGTCACAGGTTTAGCACTGACTGTTATATTTTCCAGTGTCTCGTAGTAAATTGATTCGATCTTTTACATTGTCATTGTTTGTTACGTCGTCTAAATGATAAAAAAATAAATTTAGTGATGAGGATATTTACCCGATTCTCTTTTGTCAGCCATTTTGGAATTTCTAATTGTGAAGCAGCTTAAATTTACGGACACGAAAACCCGGAAATGATGAATACATATCTGCGGTGTGAATAATGATAGTGCTTTCACCAAGAGTTAATTTTGTTATTTCAGGAATAGTGATCTGTGTCAAAAAGGTGCATGTTCGACATGATGTTTTGATATTTTCATATTTATCATTTTTGCTACGACCCGAAGTCGTCGTTTTTCTCCTGCCCACACAACTACAACTACCCAGGTGGAGTAAAAATGGTCTAGGGTGGATGTTGTGGTATCTGTGCTGTAGCATTTACGTGAGGTGGCACTATATATGATACCTTTGGAAGCACGGTCCCGCTACAAACAGAACACAATACATCTCCATTACACACACAGGCATACACACACACACACATGTACACTTACTAAACACATGTGTATAGGGACCTGCGAGTTTGTTACAGCTATATTTGGACCTAAACTAAGGTGTTCGTAGTAATTTTTAGGAAGATCGACTTTCGGTAAAATGACACCCCAAATATTCTTTTATATATCTTCTTCTTCTTCCATTTCAAGGATCACAACTCCAAGGTTGGAGTGCAATTGACCCTAGGAGGTGGCATTTCAAAGAATATATTATTTGTAATTATTTAGATATTATTTTAAAAATATGTACATAATGCGGATGCAAAATTAATAGAGAGACTGGTGGTAACCTTCAAGTGAGGACTTGAAAGAAGGTAAATCATCACTAAGGGCCAGTGACGTTGGTAATGAGTTCAAGTGATAATAGTTCTTGGGGGGAAAAAAAGAGAAAATGTAGGCGTCTTTTGCGGTAGATATTGTGTTTATTTTATGTGCCCCCCTTGTTCATCTGTCACCTGATGTCCAGTATGATGATGGGTTAATTTAAATGATGTTATGCGAGATCTTGTATAGCATTGACAATACAAGATATACATGTATACGAGAAGGCGAAAAGCTGGGGTGTCCATTTCCAACAGGTAATTGTTAGTATAACAAATACGCAATCCAGTACTTCTTCAAAACATTTTTTTTCTTCTCCAAAATTACCATAATCGCAATTGTCAGATAAACTGTTTCAGAATAATAACAATTCGAGGTTCTTACGTACATTTGTAGTCCGTCTCAAAGCGGTTCACAAGTTATTATCCATGGTTAACAGAATAACAGACGTTTCTGTGGCAAAAGCTAACACGTTTTTCTGATGATAGGCCTAGCCTAGGCCTATAGGAAAATAGGAAATTTGTCTTGAACCAAAATCAAAAGTTCAAGTTCAAGTTCTTTATTACTTGAAGTCGGTTGACTTATCAGTTATAACATATATACAAAACAATACAGAGACAACATACAATACGATGCACACACACACACACACACCGTGGAGAGTGAACACTAACCAACAATCAGCTAAAATCTCCTTTTGTTTGCTTGTATTAAAAATTTGCCAAGATTTCAAATGTCTGATACATTCTCACAAGTAAGTAGTTGAATTAATTAGTACATGCTTGTATGTCTTACATAATATTTCTTAATTAGTTTCAACCTTATATCAATATAGCCAGGACATTTTAAAATGAAATGGAACTCATCCTCGACATCAGTCAGGTCACATACTGTACACAACCTGTTTTGTCTTTCAGTTCTATTATATCTGCCACATTCAATATTTAACTTATGTGCAGACATTCGAATTTTACATATTTGTTTTAAATAATTTATATTTACAGGTTTTGATAATTAATAATGGTGACAAAAATTACACACATGTTGATACAATGCTCCTTTGTATTCCAAAAATGTTTATTTCATTTTTAAAGTATTTATGGGTTTAGTTTTAGAAAAAAGAATCAACTAATGCGGATCTACAACACATTCTTTCTTTGGCAACATACAAAGAAACGACATCGCCTGTACATGTGTCTCTTTAAAATTGATTATCAATTGAAACGTAGATGTTAACTTGACAGTCAGAAATACAAATTAATTTTTACAGCATATTCAATTGATATGGTATGTTATTTCTACTCATTTTGATTAACTACTATTAATTTGGTCCATATTTGAGAAAAAATAAATCATTGTACACTGTACATTAAAACCACTGACTTAGATAACACAATTCCGTGATTAAAACAAAGGATATAATTTGTTCTTGTAACGTATCTGTCCACGTAATTTGAACAAGTCACTTTATAATAATCTTTTATCATCAAAACAACTTTACGAAAGCTCAAAACGAAACCATATACAACACGACAGCGTTTTCTTATACTGCCAAACGCACACTGTAGCGTGCGTGTCATTTTTTTGAATCGTTACTCCCATTCAAAGGTTAACACTTTGTAACCAATCAAAAAGTTGAGATTATCCGATTTCTAGAATCTTTTAAACCTCTGCATGAATTGGGGGTCATTTAGGTTTTTGCGCTCTCGGTAAGCTTTTTTTTTATATTTCCGCCTTAGTCTTCAGACATCCTTAGATATGAGGGAAAATAAACAAAACCAAAAATCAAAAAAATGTAATAAAGCCATTCAGTATTTGAGAAAAATGTGCACACGATTTGCTTTTGCCTGAGTCTGATTAAAACCAGATATTTAATTGGAACGTAAAGTATCGGATTGGAATTACAAATCTGCTTTTAATCAGATTGTTTTGCCTTGTCCGTAGGTCCTAACTATTGAGGCCATAGTCATCTGAAATCGGCAACTTCCATTTATCCCTGCATTCACCTTCGATAACACCCCATTCAAATTACTAACCAATATAAGCACTTTTTTTTATTCGTGGGTGTTATTCTATATTGTCAGTAACACAGGCAGTTGCCTTTCCCTCTAATCTAATTCTGTGACTTTATGAGTAAAGTAACCAAATACATAGCAACCCTTCGTAAACTAAAACTTATTTCAAAAAGAAATACCTCAGAAAAAAGTATCTTACTTATGTTCGACCACTACTGGAATATGCATGTGAAGTATGGGACAACTGCGGTGAAACAAATGCCCTGTTACTAGAAAAAAATCCATCTAGAAGCTGCAAGAATAGTCACAGGGCTGCCCACATTCACAATTTTTTTTTATTCTTATATCAACAAACCGGATGGTTACCCCTTTCGAAAAGAAGAGATGTTTGGAAACTGTCCTTGTTTTATTCTATAGTAAATAGCATGGCACCTGAATTCAAGTCTAATGTAAAAGGTCTATGATAGTAAATAATTTGTTTAGCAAGCATTTCGTAAACTATATACCTAGAAAATTAAATGTACTCCTTTGTCGTCTTAGAAATCGAGCTAGCTCATTAAATTATGATCTTTTCAGAGCAAATCTAATAGGTTCAGCTGATTGCGAGTGTTGGCATCCCTGTGAAGACTGTTATATTTTTTTCCTTATTTGTCCTTTGTATTCTAATTTACGAACAATACTCATTACCGAATTAGAATGGTACTTAGGCGACATAAACGTAGATATTCTTTGTAAAGGTGACCCCAACATCTCACCAAATGATAAGATGAAACTAGCCAAGGCTGCACGGCATTTCCTGGGAAGATACTCGGGTGGTAAAAGCGACGGCCATTATTATATTTGTCTGTATTACGGGAAATTAAACAGTTGGAAAAACTTACCAACTAATCCCTTTGTCAAAATGATGTCAATACATATGTTTAAGTAAGCAAGTAGGACCTAAAATGTTTTCAGCGTTTTCAGCGTCTTAAGTTTTCCGTCTCAGTTCTTAAACAGATACGGTACCATTTCCAATCGATACGTTAGACATCATTTTGGTCAAGAAATTAACAATATCACTAAAAACAAGCGTTAAATCAACGTCATCATCACATGTGATAGTTCTACATAATATATGCACCTTAGTTTGGGTCCTAATATAGCTGTATATTAGCTGTACAAATTCTCAGGTCCCTGTGCTATACATCTCATCAATCATCTGCTCCCGGGTCAGATATTTAACAACAAGCTCGTGGATCACCGGCGGATTATATTTTCATTGGCGTAATTAAATGTTTCAAACATACAACATAATTGCCGTAGCGCCTATAAACTAGGATAATCATAATTGTAGAAGATGTTTATAGTTAATTTATGTAAACAAAATCATAACTTTATTTACTTTAGTGATTAATGTAACAGGAAAACGTTTGCCTAGCTACTGCACGCTTCATGCAAATTCGATCACGATTTCGGCGTTATTATAAAACGCATTAAATATACATGTATTTAACTGTAACACGCAAACTATCGGCACGTTGGCGTCAGTTGAATTAATAAATGTAATGCTTCATACAAAGAAAAACTATCTTACCTAGGTTATACAGATATCATGCGCTCTCGGTTACAATCGTGCAAATCATGTTCGATCTCCTGTGTGTCATTTTTCCTTCGTTGAAGATTAAGAAGACAAAGTTAGGATTTATAACACATGCTCTTTGAAACTAGTTACACAGAATTATACATGAGATCTTTAAAGCTTGTTAAATATAACCGCCGCTGCAGTCAATATACCGAATCTATCCATTTTCAGTTTTTAAATATACAAAATTTACTGATGTTGATGGTTTTACGTCCGCTATTACGGCATTGCGGCCTTTCAGTAGTCGACAACACAGCTGTGGTCATTTACATGGAGACTACTCAGCGTAGGTCTCGAACCCCTGACCCATCGGTGGAGGACTAGTGCTCCAGAGAGTCAGACACTCAGCTACTGTGTTCCCTGATTAGTCTAAGTGATGTGAGTCAAAACGATTACCTGTATGTGTAAGTACTTAGTTTGTAGACCCTAATAACCTATGCTGTGCCGGTGATCCTTAAAGAACATTCACATACCTTCATATATATTTATCTATCGTTATTATGACTTCCACTGTTACTGTTAAAGTAATAATAAAAAAACGTTCAACTTTACTCGTACCGTAGGGAATGCCATTTGTACATAGAAGATTCAGGTGGTATTCGAAATGATATAATAACTGAGATAAGGTTGCTAATAAATTCCGACGACGTTCATATATAT